CAGCCATGGCAAAGAAGATCAAGGAGAAGAAGGTGAAGGATCCCAAGAACATCCCGCTGGCCCAGCCTGACAGGTCTGGGCCCAGTGAGGCGACGCTGCTCCAGCTTGCCCAGGAAAGGGGCCTTTTCCAGCAGGAGGATGAGGTGAGGAGCAAGCGCGGGCAGGTCCCCAAGGGTGCTGTCCGTATAGACAGGCCCAAGGATGAAAGTGACGGAGAGGAGGAGGACGAAGAGGATGACGCCCTGCTGTCTCCCTTCATGGACCGCATAATGGATTCCTTGCTGTGGACAGTCAGCCTTGCCATGGTCCACGGTACTTTTGATGTGCTAGTCCAGAACCAATATGCCATCGCGATCGAATGGCCAAGTGTCATCACCAGGACTGTGGTCGCGTTTCTTGGTGAGTGTTGCCATTGATGTATGCAAACGCGGACATCCAACTGACTGTGAATTCCACCAGTGCTCTTCTTCCTTTTCCACAACCTCCACGAGCACCGCTCCAGCACGAACGTTATCCCGGGGCTTCCGCTGCGTTTCCAGCACCCCATCCGACAGGCCATCTTCTTTCTGACGAGCGTTTCTGCCGGGTGCTATTTGATTTATATCACCAATAAGTACAGCTATCTTGCAACTCTTAAGCAAGCTCCGACACTGGGTTGTCTGTGGATTTGGTCTGTACTCGAATTGGATCTGGCGGTGGCTGCGGCGAGTCTGGCTGTTGCAGGGGCATTCCTACTGCAAGGAGGGTACGACATCAAATGAGGAACCGACTGCTCGTCACTTCGATCTTGCCCTCTTCCCTGGCCGAGGGCTGGGCTGGCGCTCACGGCCTCTTTTTTCCGTCGGGTTCAACTGCGAGGAAGCTGATACCCGTCGTGACTTGGACGTGTCTACCCACGGGTGGTCGGCTGAGCTCCCAAGCCGATTTCTGTGCATCAAACGATAGACGAGGTCTTCCAGCCGATGGATCTGGGCTCTCTGCTCGGCAATCTGGTTCTCCATTCGAATAAAGCTCTCTTCGGACTTCGACTCCGTCCTGGCGGTTTTTGACTCCAAATCGCGAATTCTCCTGTGCCAACGTCAGCGAAGCAAACGAATTAGAGGTGGAGTGCCTACGAGGAAATCATGCTCATTTGTGTGAACTGGACGCGTCCCGTCAATGCTTCCCTCTGCCGCACGAGCTCCAGCGTCTTGGAACGAACAGGCAGCCAGGCCATGGCGACATTGGTCGTGAAGGTCCAGCTTCTTGGCACCAGCGTCCAGTTTCCCTGGTTCTCGGCGTCTTGGCTGGCAGCCTTGGTCTCGGCCTCGGCCAGGAGCTCGAGGATGCGCTGCTCCAGCTTGATCAGGTCGTCCATGACAAAAGAATACATCGCGTACTCCGGTTGGTGCTGTTGGCGGGCCCCTGGTCTTTCGCCTGCAGCGCGGATGAGCTCGGACAGCCATGTGGACTCTGTCTTGAACCACGACAGGGAGGCCTTAACTCTGAAATACTCGTCGTCGCTGTTCCGCAAGTAGGTGATTCTGACATAGACAGCGGCAAAAATTGCTACGATGAAAGTAAGGATGCCGGCGACATTAGCTGCGATGGATAAGGGGCTGTCCTGCTGCGTTACGGGATCCATTGGCTGGAGTCAAATGATGGCGTGCTGGCTACGAGATGTTGAAGTTGAAGTCGGTGTCAGAACCTCGATTGGAAGCAGGCCACTTCTTTTTCCTCTTCCCTCGGCTCGCCTGGGCTGTCGGAGATGGCAGCATGCAACGGCTGGGAAGTAGCTGCCCTGGGGCTGATCCAAGACACCACCCGGCGGTACCTGCCTTAGGTAACACTCCCGGCCAGCTCCATGGCGCACTCGGCCACCCCGTTCCTTGAGCGGCTCGCCGCTAAAAATCACTCCCTAGGTAGCGCCGTCCTTGGCTGTCCGGGTGGGGCCGCCCTCCCGTCAAGATGCGATACACCACGTGACTGGCCTCGATTGACCGCATCACAACTACTTAACGGTTCCTGTTAAGTGGATGCGAATTTCAGCGTTGAATTGAAGGCGATAGTATCTCGTACTTGCTGCTTGCCCTCCCGCGGACACCGAAAGACTGGTCAGTGGATGAGATCAAGCCCGCACCATCTCTCTCCTCAGTTATGGCAGCGGGTGTAAGTTGAGTGATTCACGCAATCTACGAAATACCGTGGTCCCATTAGCAACTGCCAGTTTCTTATCTACAATCCTTCGAAAATTGGATGTGGAATGATGGGGATTCGCGTCCCATATCCGCCACCGACGTGCCTCGGATGCCTCTAGAGAACAGTTGCGTGACGAGGGCATGAGGCTTTCTTGCCGTACCTAGTAGTTTCACAGATCGAGCATAATAGCAGTTTAGCTGATTCAAGCACCCATCGCCGACTTCTTCTCCAAAAAATTAACTCTGAAAACCTGACATCCGAAAACAATCGAGATAAAAACTTCGTCAAATTTGATCCTCCTGCTTTCCGTACCTCTCAGCTACCAGATATCCGAAATCGAAAAGCCAAAGCCTCCGACAGCAGAATCGAGAGTTACCATCTTCAGCCAGCCGTCTTTCAACTGCGAAAGACTCTTTCTTCCATATCAGCAAGACCAACCGAACAGGAAGCAGCGCCTTCCTCTCTCGAGCTCCTTCCTCTTGCTTCCTCCTGCAACCACCACCTCCACCACCACTAGCCCTCGAAAACTCTTCCCTCCAACCCTCACCACCCTCTGTCTCAAAGCAGACTTTTTATTCCACACCCACCTTTCGTTTACTTCTCTTTCTCACCCACCACCCATCACTTCCTTCATTTACTCTACCTTCACAAACCATCTCCACCACAACTTCTTCACAAACTTCCTCGCACCCTCTCCCGTTCACATCGAACAAGATCTCAAGTATCCATCACGAGCTTCCTTACCTCGCGCGGATTTCTTTTGTGAATCTCCTTCGTCAAATCGCGCCGTTCGCAACCCACCTGTACCTCTCACTGTTCATCATTTACCCGTCACAACACCTTCACCCTCTCAGGTAAGTACCATCAACACTGGAAACTTCCCCATCGATTGTTTCGCCATTCTTACCCTTTCCAGAGTCGAATCAATCATGTCTTCCGGCGACAACGCTACTCCCTACACCATTCCCTACACCGGCGCTCCTGGCAAGCAGGTCGCCGAGGGAATCGTTCCTGCTTACTCCCAGCAGCCCGGCCCTGTTGCTCAGCCTGCTGCTCCTCAGGACATGAATGTCCAGCAGGACTACCGTCGCCCCTCTACGGTTGAGGCTCCTGCCAGTCCTGACATGGCTTACTCCATGGGCGAATCTGTTGCTCAGGGTAGTGCCGTTGGCGCCGTCAACGCCAGCGACCCCAACTCTGGTGTCCGCCGCTCCTCCGTCATTGCTGCTGCTCCTGTCGGTCCCTCTGACAACATTCCTGGCCGCTTCGCTTCTGCTGCGGCTGGCTCTGGTGGCATCGCCATCATCCACCCTCAGCATACTGGCGCCAAGAACATCCACACCTCTCAGCAGACTGAGAAGGAGGGTGCCCAGACCCCCGAGCAGTACCAGGTAAGCTCATTCCAATCCCTCACTTCATCTGCTCTTCTCTGACAGTTGTAGCGTCCTTCTACTTTCGGCATGGATGGCTCGTTCGATGATCCCGACATCTTGAACAGTCCTACCCCTAGCCGTCGCAGCCGCTCTGCCAGCCCCATGCTCGCTCGAGAGCTGCAGGCTGCCCGTCTGGAGGCCCAGACTGCCCGACGTGAGATCCAGCGCATGGCCCATGCCTACAACGTTGTCCAGCAGGCCAACCTGAACTTCCAGCAGGCCAATGTCGCGTTGCAGCAGCACTGTCTGTTCTATCAGAGCAACGCAGAATTCCACTACCAGAACTACTGTGTGGCTCAGAGCCAGACCCAGAACCTGCTCAACACGTCTCGCCATTTGCAGGATGTTGTCTATCTCCTCGATAACAGCGTGTACTACAGCGATCCTGTGTTCCACGATGCCCTCCCCAAGTGTGTGCTGAGCCAAGTGGACGAGGTCCGTGGTGACTGGGTCGCTGATGAATTCGCTGCGGCCTATGCTTAAGCTGTGAGCATGAATCTGTGAGTACTCTCCCCTACTGTTACTTACACTGTGATAAACTCAGTCTAACTTGTGCAGGATCCACTCGATTGCTCTGTCGCTTCACCCAACAGCATGGCAAAGGGACCCAGCAGTCTGTCATGTCGCTGTAGCTGTACCCTGCGGCACATCCACACTCCTTTGACACCAACATCATTATCTGGCAACGGCCTTCACACACAAAGCCGCCCTCTCACGTTCATTACCTACCCACACGGGCTTTGCATCACTGCCCTTTCTTGTCACGTCGCATCGCATGCAGACCTTTGTTTTCGCTCCGACTCTATTGTCGCCAGCTCTTCTTTGGTCTTTTGATCAACAGCCCCTTTCAGGCATGCATTTTCAGCAGACATTATACTTGTACGACTAATACGGATCGACCCCCCTTCTCCCTCACATCGCGGTCAAGGCTCTTTCCTCTTTTCCTACTGTCACGAAACACCCACAGTCATTACCTCTCTACCCTCATCATCATTGATATCCTCGCTTAATGGACAGCCTAGTTTGTCACTCTTTGACCGCAGGGATTTGGAATTTGGTTGCGAAACGGTTTTTCTGGAATGGTTTGGTACAGGGCTACTTTCAGGAATCAGCACGACAGTGCTGGCAAGGCTTTTATACACGGAAACTGGATGGCAGACGGTTCTGGATGGAAGATTGCACCTTAGATAGAAAACGTAGAGGAGACACAATCAAGACCTTCTCTCATACTTGTGCATATCGGTTGTGAATGTCTGCTGTGAATCCAGTCACCGAAGGAGCTGGGCTGGAAGCGTGGCAGTGATTGACATCATGTCTCTACTCATATAAAGTACGCCTGCCGCTGTTGGGCACCCATAATGACAAGAACGAAAAGTAGACACATCAATCATGCCGCGCCAAGTCACCGACGAACCCGGGCCCTCGCGCCCACGCTTCCAAACCGTCCGTAGCGCCCGCAACTCCAAACACGACATCCCCTGCGGCGAAAACTGCCTCGTCTACCCCAACGGCAAGCTCGAACACACGCCAGGGGGCGTCTTCGGTAAGTTTGCGCAGTATCTCGAGCTCGATCTCAAGACGCGGCCGCCGAGGGACACCTGGGTCGAGGAGAAGGGGAAAAGAAGGCGTAGCAAGAGTGGGCGGCACAGGAACTGCGAGCGGCCGAATCGGTTTTATCCTGACGATGATGATGTCGCGGAGGAGCCAATTATGGATTTCGAGGATGGACCTACTATGGAAGGAGTTTAGTCAAGATTGCGGGTGGGCGGCTTGAGAGAGGGAAGAGGCATCCTGTGCGTCTGGTGCCCAAGGGCGAGATGAGGACGGCGGATGAGGTTTCGCGTGCGTGGCAGCGTCACGAGGATGGGCGACAGGAGAGGCCTGATGAGTTCAGGGCGATGGCAACCCCGGAAGTTGGGGTGAAGAGGGCCAGGCCGTATGGCCTGCGTCGCGACGATGGCGATGACGACTCGGTGGTTGAAAGACCGGGGGGGCTTTCTAGTAAGCTAGGCCGGTTCGACTTGCTGGACGGCCGTATCTTTTTCAGTAGATAGTAAATTCATTATTTGGGTGACAACAATTGGTTGCTGAGATAATAGACACAAAAAAACAAAAGAGAATGGCCAGGACGAGGATCGAAAGGTACGTACGACGACTAACCGCGGAACGTCAACGCCAGCTAGTCTTCGCACAACTACCCCTCGACCACCTGTCCTGGCTGTGGGAGAGCATAGAAACCGAATTACCTATAGGGGTAGCCGTGAGCAGGTTCTGCGGACTTCGACTGCCGGGTGAGGCCGCTTGCCTAGGCAGCATTAGCTACACCTCAGACGCACCTGTATAAATTCAACAGCTCCGTCTCATTATATTCTTTCTATGACAAAATTTGACCTTGTGCTTGTCGCGTTTCTAGCTTCAGCTAAGATACTAGCTTCGATTGGCGGCGTTTTAGATGTCTGTTTCCTACGACGCGTGCGGCGTTACGCTCGCGCCCAAGGCAGCCCGAATGCCAGGTCAAACACACGCGAGATCCAATAGCAGCTGACAAGGACAAAGGTGAAAATAGAAGTTTTGATCTCCTTGCTTGTATCCGTCCAGAAGCCATTCCCACGCACGATAACGACGTTCAGTGCCACCACTCCACAGCCTTACTGGAGTTGACGAACGCCAGCTCATTGTGTGCTGTGTAAACTCAGCAACCCGCCATCTTCCAACGCCTCAACGACGCAGGTCTTCGGGCAACGTCTCCTGCGCTTAAGGATGTCGTAGTGCTCATAAAAACACGGTCAAATCATTCAAACGGATTGACACAAAATCCGGAAGCTATTGTTGTGGTCTTTTTCGATCACATCTCCACTCCCGAGTCGATTCGTCGGTGTTTGAGGTGAAGAGTCTGCAACACCAGTCCGCGGCACGGAACTGAGTTATGCTTGCCTAAATACACCATAGAAGCTGACGAAGGAAACCGACTCAAAGTGACGCGTTTTTATCCCTTCGATACTGCAGAAGGCCTATGTTAGGAAATGAGGCGGCATGCAGCAGCCCAGACCTTCCCAGATAGGTGTGTACGAAAGACACTGACAACGCGCTCGATACCGCTGTGTTTATGGAGTAAGATTACCTGTTCATTCAGATCTTTCTAATGGCCAGTCTTGCGTCTGCATTTTTCATATGCTTTCATCCTGCGGGACACGATGCGCGTTCTGAGGCAGAAACGGCAGGCGCGCTACCAACACCGGGCAAGAGCCCTTCGGTCTGCAAGCACATGAAGGACAAATACGCTCTGTCAACAAATCCCATGCTTTCAACCACAATTACTGTCGAGAACCATCGTTTCTTAACCTTTGTCAACACATGGCTGCAGGAGCTGTGCAGTAAGCCAGACTCAAAGCCTCTGATGTGCCCCACGACGCGATCCACCAACTCTCGAGGCCTCGACGTAGCTGACCTGTGAGTACGACTAGGTGGCGAGAAACAATGCAAAACGATGATCGAAGCAAGAGATATTGTCGATTAGGTTGATGCCTTCCCATTGATCCAGGTGGCTTGGGACTCGTTATCGCAGCTGTATCTATCACTGAAATTGCCTCTAGGACGCTCCATTGGTCGGCTTCGGTTGCGGCTCGATTGGTTTGATGAAAACCGAGCCTGCTAAATAAAAAGTGTCTAGAACTAAACTGAAATCATACTCGCTATACATCCATGCCAGCGCTAGAAAAAGCATTCTAATACCTGTCTACAGACATAAAATCACAAGAATTGACCCGACTTTCCTTGCGAGCGTTGTCACAGATGGAGTCAGACTGAGTAACTGTGTCTTCTTAGCTCCCAGACTCCTCCAGCAAAGACATATGGCCACAAATCGCGACCATTGGCGTGGACTCCAGCTAGATGGCGAGCCGAATGCGCTGTAATAAGCAGGCAGCGACATGGATGAGAGATGTTGCGGCTGGGAGCGTCCATTTGATAGTTGTCTGGTCATTTCAGAACATTGCAACAGATTGGACTGTATTTCTGTATGGTCTCCTGGTGGAAATACTCCGCACATCGCCGCATTTATTGACATTGTTGCCGAGATGAGGTATGCCCTCGCTCCTGTTGAAGTTCTCTTATACTGACGTCATCGAGACTCGGTCTCCTACTCTAATCAAATTCTGTTTACTATTGAGCTTTATGTCTATGACAAAGTTACCTCTATAAGAGTGTCACAGCTTGGCATATGGAGCCCGTCTGCAAAGCAGATCGAACAGATCGACATCTCTGTTTGGTCTTAAGGCAGGTGGTTGGAAGAGTACCAAAATGGTCCAATCGATCGTCCGCTGATTTCTCTCTTATGTCGTGTACTAGTCTTGTCCACTCTCATGTGATAACCCTGTCAAGATCGAGCTTATTATACTGGATGCCTTCACAAAGAAAAGGTTGAATGGAGACCAGTGACGCCAGAGAGGGCACGCCGCCATAACAATCACAGGCAAAGATATGCTCCAGATGACTCCGTGCGTCCAGGAGATCATCATTGTAGCAGTTCACCGGCTGGAAGCTTACACAACATCTGCATCAACCCTGTTAAGACACATATCCTGAGACGCGGTTCTCCTTGGGTTTGTGGGGAACAAATATCGAGAGATTACAACCATCGTTTCACAAAGGAGGCTGTGCCTGATGAGCATATAAAGGCACTGAGTTTCACTAGATAATTGGTTGATCGATAGAGATGGAAATTATTTCTTCAACGCATTAATCTCCACTATAGACAACGTCACATCTTTTGTAATTGATGAACCTGTAAAGGTAGCGCGATCCTTGGAGATTACCCAGATGGCGTGCTCGGGGTGTATACCAGCAGAAAGTTCCTCGTAGATGATCGACGAATGATGTCGGCAAGTGAAGATATGAATTGAAGAATTAGGCATGCTTCATCTTTTGGAGACCATCTCCAGGAATCGCACTCACAATTGCTGCAACTGTAGATACTTGAAAGCTTTCAAAATTTCCTTGTTTGACGTTAGAGGCAAATTGAGACTTGATTTCACAATAGATGCCTCAAATACCATCGGCTTAACTGAAAATGGTATATAAATGTGTGGGGGCACTGGGGAAAGTCTCAAAGACGAACCCAATGGACTGGTCGTGCCAATTGTCATGCAGTAACCAGTTGGCCAACAGGCATACCCTCGTACTCTAAGCGAGAGCACTGCCAGGAGATGATCTCAGCTATAACCCCATCGAATTCTGAGTTGTTATGCCGAATAGTCAAAGGTATGGTTCCCGGGAGCCAGGGACCGCGAGCTGAGATGACAGGGAAACACCACCGGCTGTGCCTCTGTCTGCGAATGGATCACCTTTCGGCAACGATGATTAGACCTTATTTACTGGCATCAACTCTTCAAATGTCACGCTTTAGTTCCTCGATCGATTGGTGGTTTGGGCTGGTAGCTAAGGACCTGCAGCCAAGACCGGGATTTATACTGAGGGCAAGGCGGCTCAGGACTTGAACAGCGCGACCACTGATGGCTTCAGTTCGATGTGTATAAATTTGCGCCTGCTCGCCTTGCCGCCTAAATTCTAACAAGATCAAATAGTGGAAGTCTCTCATGCGAATGAGGAGCATGAGAGCGAGTGTTCAGAATCCAAGGGCACTTCCCGCGGGGCTCAATGTCGTGCCACCTACCGTAAGCTTTCGGCGGCGAGGGCCGCCAACGTGGGTGCAGCAATAAACAGTCTTGAATACGCCGACAACAGTTGTGACAGTAGACGACGTTAAGTTCACGCGGACATTGGCAAACATAAGGCCGTGACCAGACGAGCTCTGCCGAACTTTAAGGTCGACGTTTGCCTCCCGCCAACATTCGACTTCGACTTCGACTGCTTCGGCGCTATGATGGTGGTGCACAGCCAGCCAGCAGCGTTGCAAGATTTATAAGATGAGTAAAATTGCAGAGGGATCTAGCTGACGTTGAGCGTTGTTTGTGCTACGGATTAATGTCACCATAGGTACCATCCGGAAGGAAGAAACATCGTCGCATCGGCCCGGGGCCGAAAGCAACCCCACCAAAGCCGACACCGACCGTCGCACCCCGCCGCCTCAAGTGGAACAACATGCAACCTCCCACATTTTTCATCGCCGTTTCATGTTCGGCTCCTCAACTCACGACGCTTGTTCCAAGCAAATCAAAATCCTCTACCACCTAGGCAGCAGTACGCCCCATCTCAGTCCGCAAGTCAGCCCACGAGGCAACCGCCGTCAGCCCCAGCCACGGCAAGCTAAAAAACCGCACCGGCCCCGCGTCCGGTTCACCTACCTCAACCTCAACCTCATCGCACGGCTACCAAACTCATCCCATCACCATATCTGCCTTCTCAAATCAACTCGAACACCAAAATGACAACCTCCCAAACCTCACCAGCCCGCCCACCCCCGCCATCCTTCACCCTCACCTACCCCCCCTCCCTCGAATCCTACAACACCCCAGCCTCAACCTGGCTCGCAACGCACAACAAAACCTGGGACGGCCTCGCCACCGCCGCCCTCGTCTTCTCCCCCGCCAACCGCATCCTGCTCCTGCAGCGCGCCGCGCACGACAGCATGCCAAACCTCTGGGAGACGCCAGGCGGCGCCGCGGACGCGGAGGACGCCTCGCTCTTCGCGGCCTGCGCGCGCGAGCTGTGGGAGGAGGCCGGGCTCACGGCCACGCGCATCGTGCGCGTCGTCACCGAGGGCGCGTACCGCGAGCCGGGGAGCGTGTTCA